TCTGCCGGCGGGCCCAACATTCCATGCATTTCATGTAGCAGGGTTTACTCTATCAGGGGATCCCGACCAAAATATGTTTTTTGGTGTTTCTTTCTAGCCAGGCGTGTCAATTTCTCAGAGGCCCCATGTGACACAGCGACTTCGCAGAGTTGGCGACTCGGGCGATCGAAGGAGTGTCAAGCCTCCCTCATGCGCGAGCTCGTGCTGGCCCGCCAGGAGGTTGAGGCTTTGGCCGGAGACCAAGAGGCGACTGGCCACTCCAGCTGCCCCCCCCCCCCCCGGCCCACCGTTTGGGTGGGTGGGTAGTGTGTGGGTGGTCAGTGGTATGTGTATGCGTGTTTGTTTTTTTCAGGCTGGCCTTTTTGAGGCTGAGGCAAACTCGAGGGAAACCACTTTTGAAAGACACAGGGCTCCACGAGACTAGCGGTCTTCAATTGGGTGGTGGTGGAATCGCCGAAGTGTCCCAGACCAACTTTGCAGTGCATGGCGCATTGATTTGAGCAGCACACGAGTTGCGCCAAGGTTACACCACGCCGGCCAATACAACGCGCCTGCTTCCAAGTCTGCGAAATGCATTGTGTATTGGGTTGATTCCCCCAACATATTAACATTGACTTTGCTTTACTATTTTGCGATGTCCTGTTTTCAGCGGCTTCAAAGCAAAACTCACGGTTCATTTGCCCGTCGCCCTGTGCGAAGCTATTCCACCATAGCTGATTGCCCCGCGTCTGTGGCAGCCGAAGCTGCATTCCCGGACATCGCACAAATTGGGTGTGTCTCAAAATAAGAGACCGACCATGAACAAACTGTACCAATTCCAATTGGGTGCGCCTCAAAGTATAAGGTTTCAATATGAGGAAGCCAGAAAAGACAAGCCCCAAGAAACTGCACCGATTCCCAAGAGACCAACTCACTTACCTTGATGGCCATGAAGGTGCCAGCTGCCCCACTTTCCTTGAGTGCCTGGGATGGTGCCCATGCCTCAAGGGGTCAGGCTCCATTTGTTTCACCACCAGGATATGGACCGCAGGTTACAGGTTGCATCGTCCATGTTTCCATTTACCAGGGCAAGCCATGTTAGGGTTAACCCGTTTTGACCCACAGCTATATTGGGGTATCCTGTTTGGATGGTTATCCGTTTCATGTGCTGCTCCCCCTGCCCGTCCTGCTTCTTCCGCCACCCCGGCAATTACAGGATCAGTTGAGCCACCTGTGCTTGAATTCTGAATGCGATGGACCGCAAGGTTTGCGGGCTTCTTGTGCAAGATCAGATATGTTTGATATCCACCCATGAGAAAGTCGGTCAACCATGGCACAGTCAAAACATTGCGCATCCCTTTGTGTACATGTGGCAAATGTTTATTGACAAACTGCTTAACCTTGTAGGAGAAGTAAAAGATGAAACAGGGCTGGACTTGACAGGCATGCTGTGCATGCGATTTTCAGGAAGAAGAAACCACACACACCATGACTTTCGTGGTGTACTGATGCCAAACTCAGCAAGTTGTAAGTGTCGAAGGAAGTGTCGATGTGTGTTTGTTTGCGTAGATAAGTGAGCAAGTGTGTGCGTGTGGAAATGTTTCTTGTGTGTCTGTGTGTTTGTGTGATCGTGTAGGTGTGGCTGGAAGTTGGGGCTGGAAGTGGAAGTGGAAGTGATTGTGTTGTGTGTCTTGCGTGTTTTGCATGTCGTGCGATGTCGTGCGGGTTTTGTGTGTTTTGTTTGTCTTACGTGTCTGTGACTGTGTGTGTGTGGCGTGCGTATTTTGTTTTACAGTAGTGTGTCTTGCTTTTGTGTTTTGTGTTTCATGAACTGGCCACAGTGTCCTGCTCTGACGGCTTGGCATACCCCCTCTCCCAGCCTGAATACCTGACTCTGCTGGAGCCCGCAAACTCTGCAGATCCATCAAGGACTGGACAACATGCCAAGGTTCACAGATCCATCATTAACGGATATATGCCACAACTTGTTTATTTGCTTTCCGCTCAATCTAGCCAGCCCTGGCAGACATGTTTGTGAACTAGCTCACAATTGCTTGCTCAAGCCCGCTACATACACCTCCAACAATGTGACTTGGTGTCCATTCAATGTCTGACTTAAGCAACTTCACCATGGAAGAGATCCGTTTCTCAATAATTTGTTTCTCGATAATTTATTGGACGGGGGGTGAGGGTAGTACTCTTGTTGGAGTTGTTTGAAAGGGAAACCAAAAGGAGCATCATCATTTTTGGGCTCCCCCCCATGTTGACACCTACCCCATATCAATGTGCTTTCTGCCAATGATCCCATGATGGGGCATTGTGTGATTTAGCCTGTTAACTTGTTTTTCGCGGGTTCGCCCGTGGAGAATCTGTGTCTAGCGCAAGGCTGGTGCTGATGCTTGTGTTGTTCACTTGTATTCTCAGTGGTCGCGGGTGCTTACACGTGCTGTTCCAGTGTAAAGTGCCTTCAGCCAGACCTGCCGGGCTGCCCAGAAATTTCTTGCTCCTCCGTGTGTTACCTGCTTGTTCTCACAGTTTCCGGCACTTGCTCTTTTGGGCCATTTGCCGTGCCAGTGCCGGTCTGTTTCTTGGAAAAATGCTCAGGCGCCGCCCTTTGTGCCTATACCCAGCATGCCGTGTCCTGGCACTGTGGCAGCCTGAGGGTCACTCAGCCGCCATCATTGTTGGCGGCCGTGGCCGTTTGGGGTTGGTTGTGGTAGCTTGATGTTGTGGGTGGTGCCTCAATGATGGTAGGCTCTTGGTTCTGGCCATGTGACATCATGTGACCTCCTTTCAGCACGCGGCTTGCAGGTGCCACCGGCACATCATCAACTTGCCGGTTGCCACCATACCAACTCACAACCAGGCAGGCCGCGCTCCTCAATTCGGACAGATGGTGCCATTGGCCCCCCAATCTTGTTCGATGTGCCGTTGGTAATCCCCAAGCTTGAGGCTGCTATGTTGAAACCGTTGCTTTCGTCAATCATAAGAGGTTTGTTTGTGACGGCAGCTTGAGGGGGAATCTGATGATTGTAAGCGCGCTGTGAGCTACGGTTCTCAGAGCTTTGTGTTAGGAATATCAAGTTGATTTCAAGCATCTGCGCAAGTACTGGGCACAATACGACTTTCACCTGCCATCTCTATGCGGCCTCACTCAATCGGTCAACCGGCAGCGGCGGGTGGGCACGTTCCCCAGTCCCCCACTGCATGGCTTGGCTGGCTGCCAGGAAGCAACCCATGCACGCCGCGCGTGCCGCAGCTGAGGCGCGGGCTTATGTCCTGAAGGTTTCCCATGCAAAGAAAACCCCACCAAAACTTGGGTCCGAGCCATCCGGTCCCTTAGCTTGAGCTTTCTTGTGTTTAGTGGGGGGTTATTCAATCCGCTAAAAGTTAAACTTTTAGCGGGGGAGCTGAGGACAGCCCAGAAAAGTGCGGCTCGAAACAACCAAAAGTGGTGCTGGGAGTTATTAAAGAGCGTGTTGTCACTTCAAAGAATTCCACCAACTCGCAGACGACGGTTTGGTTGAGTGCATTTCTACCCCTAGGGCAGTTGCTCAGTTTGGCCCAAAATTGACCTGCTGTTTGGGCAAGAGTCCCCATATTAATTCTGTTGGAGCCCTGTTCGGGTCGGGGGGGAAGGGAGTATTGGGTCAACATCCACGGCATCGGTGAGGCTGCCTTTAAGGACGCAGACTGCCGGAGCCTGACGACATTCTCTCCGTTTGCGCATCATGATTCCTGACCAAACCACGAATCCAAACCACTAGAGGGAAGCTGAATTATTGTAAACTTTTGAGACCTTTTCTTCCAGTGCATGGAGCCTTACACAGCATTTACATGGCAGGACTTGGAGTGGATCTTTGATTCGATATAATGTGCGAAACCTGTTCCAAAAACACACATCAGATGTGCACATGTACACTTGAGGTTCAAAACGGTTGTATGTCATCTTGACTTCCTGTTTGTTTGTTCAGTTTGCTTGAAAGGGAAGCCAACTGAAGCCAACTGGAAATCACTCATCAGGGGTTCCTTCTGTGAAGAAACACCCATGTGACCCATGTGCATTCATTGATCACAGGGGTTTCTGCATGTCAAGAACCACCCATGTGACCCGCGTGCATTCATTGATCGCAGGGGCTTCTGTATGTCAAGAACCACCCATGTGACCCATGTGCATTAATTGATCGCAGGGGTTTCTGTATGTCAAGAACCACCCATGTGACCCATGTGCATTAATTGATCGCAGGGGTTCCTTCTGTCAAGAACCATCCATGGTGCAGGAAACAAAAAAACAGATCGTTTGCGTGGTTTGACAGATCCTTTGTGCATTAATCCGCGCATGTTCAGAGGTTTCTTCCGTATGTCAAGAAACACTCATGTCAATGTGCATTAAACACATTGATACTTTCAACTATCTCAACCGCGAGGCTGGACCTCCAATGACCTTCCAGACTCAGAGCTGTGTCGTGGCGGGCTCAGCCGCAAGCCACAACCCGGTTTGACAGAAACCCGAGTGAGGAACTGGTTCTGAATGTGTTTTGTTGTTTTTTTTCTTTTTAAAGGGAAAGCAAGGAAACCAGCCATGTTGTTTGTTTTGTTTGACAGCAAGGGAACCAACCTTTTGGAAGGGTTCCTGGCCCTAGTTTTTTGCCCTCCAACAAGCCTCGTTTCAGATTTAGCAGGACCTGTTGAGATGTCTCGGGATCGCGGACACATCGAATACCGACACGGCGTGTTGCAGCGCTACTTTTTGTTGGCAGGAAGGTTTAGTAGGTTGGAAAGCAAAGGACAACCAACCATGTTGAAGGTTTTGTTCGTTGAACAGCAAGGGAACCAACCATTTTGATGGTTTTGTTTTGGTGGGAAAGGCAAAGGGAACCAACCAGTTGTGACAAAAAAATGCACCCAGTGCAACCTCCTCTACCCGAAGCACGCGATGCCATGAATTCGATGCCTGGCAGTGAGGCCCGCCCTGGCAGCGTCTTCAATGTCAACTCTGCGCTGGTTGAGAGGACGCGTGTCGCGCAAGTGGGATATCAACAAGGGGATAGAGGCATGAAAAGCGGTTGTTCTGTGATTTTGCAAGCTGGCAGGCTTGATGCATTGAACAAGAGGTATTGGCTGCTGCATTGCTGGTACATCTACACGCTCTGTCCAGTTTGGACTTGCGGCCCAATATGAATCTACTTAGACGCTTTGCCATTGTGCACTTAGAGACGCTATGTGCTTCTCTGGTTGTTCTGTGAGTGTTTCACTTCTGAACATCCACGGTCTAGCATTTCTGCTTGGCCGCTTGGTAACGTGGATTAGGCCAATTAATTCGATGGCCGCAGGATGCGGGACCCGATGCGGGAGCCGATGCTGGGGACTATGGAGGTGGGTGTGGCTCGTTTGAGGCTTCACTCTTTTTCATGGACCCCTAGAAAATGTAACAATTCAGACACAATATATGGTTTCGTGTTCTTACCAGCTCAGACTAACTCAAAGCCAACCTCTTATGAACCTTGATATGCAACCAGGCTCCACCAAGATTCAGCTTGAAGCTTGCACTGTACCTTCACAAGCTCTGGGCAAAGCCACCGGATACCTTTCGAGACACCGCGACTCCACCAGAGAACCACCGGGAGACCACCAGGACCCGGCACACCCCAAAACACCACCAAAAACACAACCCCGCCACCAATCCGCCGCTGGCTCACCCATCACTAAAATGACACTAGAACCCCAATTCCGCGTCAATTTGCGTCGGCTCAAGCCCAGGTTTCGGCATCATTTTGCCAAGTTGTCCCTTTCCAGGCCAGCGCTACAGAGAATGTCAAACTGCTTGTTTCCCATCCAACCAATGCCAACATGAGATGTATGAACCCCCCTGCATTCAGCTAAGTACTCAGCGGGCCCTTGCTTGCAAATTCGCTCCATTCCCTCAGAACAAAACGAGAATGGTTGCAAAGCGAGGCCTGCTGTACTTGGCATACGTGCGACACTTGTTCTGAAGAGTTGTGATTGCCGAGCTAGAGCTGCAGTCGCACCTTGCGCTGAACAAGGGTAAATCTCATGCTGTGGGTGCCAAACGTATTTTTCGTATTTCACTCGCTGTTCAATGTTGCAGATGAGCTGAAGCTGCTAGTTTCACTTTGCGTAGTAAGGGTGTGTGTGTGTGTGTCTGTACTGCAAAGCTGGGCGTTTCGGTGCGATGTTCTCCGAATGGCTCTCAAAGATGGGCTCAAGGAGGGAATAGCCACGTTGCCCTACAGGGAGCACGGCGAAGCACTGGTTGCAGATGCTGGTTCAGCTGTTATTAGTCGAGGCTGCATTACTACACAATGCAGGTTATCACTGGGATGAGTGTCCTTCTCAACAATTGATAGTGGCTCAACTGAAAGCAGGGAAGGCTTGCTTGGTCACCGTTTAGCCTTGACTGCTGCGTATGGCTTTGTATCCCTCTCTTGTTGACTTGTTTATGTGGCTTTAGAAGGGGGCGGCAATCAGGTCTGGCTCAATGTGTTATTTCACAACCAAAGAAGGGTTCAAAGCCTTTTGCGTCCAGCCAGTTTAAATACATGGTTGTTCATGCCAGAGCAGGCGCCTCAGCAGGCCTGCATGTCTGCCAGCGCCTCAGAGCCTCGGGTGACGGGCTGGCAACAGACTTGCGGACTGATCGATTGATCTGAGTTGGTGTCAAGACATTATCCGAAGAGCGGCTCTCAAGCATTGGACACGTTGCTCCAATCAAGTTGTAGCGCTGGGATCACTCGTCGCAGGCGCACTTTTGTGAGATCTGGCCCAGGTCGGAGTCACAGCTGCAGCGGCAGCAGCCGCAGCTGCTGGGCGCGGTACTCCAACCAGCAAGGCGTGGGGTGGCTAGTAGGTTTGTCTCAGTGGGAATCCCTTTCTGGATGATTTAACGGGCCAAGAACCTGAAACAGGGATCTAATCTTGCCACACATCCAGGTTATGAATTCGGGGTTGAGGAGCATGTCCGATGTGATGGACGTGGACTTTACTGGAAATACGAATCCATCAACAATCTTCACAGTTCATTGGCAGCAGGAAAGCGCATTTGCTCCCAATGACCACCACGTGGCGAGGGCGAGCTGTTGCGTGTGAGGTGAAAGCCAGCCCCTTGCGGATGGCGCCGCCACGGTAGGTACGAATGGTAAATGCCTTTGCGAATGCAAATGATGCAAAAAGCAAGCGGCGCAAGTGGGAATGGGAGAGTGCGCAGGAGGTATTTGCAAGCCGTCAACATGGTTGGTGCACAATGCTCGAATAAAGATTATCATAATGGGGGCTGGGGGCGAGGGAGAGGGGAGGGAGCCCAAATACGGCCCCATTAAAGGCTTACTAAGAGCTAATTTAGGCTCCCTCCCCACTCCCCTCCCTCCCTAGGCCCCATGAAATTACCGAGGTGAAGGGTCTCCAACTCAAAAGTAGGCCCAAATGAGACAAGTGCAATAGCCCTGTTTGATGCTATGAAAGCAAGCAAGGGATTTTGTTTGGGCCAAACATTTGGCCTCACTACGGTTTACCAAGCGATACGAAGAAGTTCAGGCCAGGCGCCGGGGCATAGGGGACTCACCATGGACTCTTCCAAGACCTTGCACGCAGGATGGGGGTAATATGGCCATGGTTCACAACCAATGGTACCATTATTGGGATAGGTGCACCACCCATTTTAGTCTACTTTAGTGGGGATTGGGATGTTCACCGGGGGTGAACCGGGCTTTTGACCCATGGCCATATGGTTTGCGGAGCTTGGTTGCAAGACATTCACGGCAACCACGGACAAAGCCAGAGCTCGCAATCACTTGGAGACCTTCACCTCGCTTTGGGTCGATTGGCTCAAGTGGTGCACCCCCGACAAAGGAGAATGTCTAGTTCCCCTTGAGTCGCTGAGTCGCTTGACCTAGAACCCAAAGCACGGAAGCCGAAAAAGGGACACCGCATCATTGACATGCCACTGTTTCCCGCTCAGGTTCTGCCTTGCAGCGAGTTGATCGAATGAGAGATGTTGGAAACAGATACCCCGCTCAGCGAGCTTTGAACGAGCCTTCAAAGGTTAAGGCCAATGACTTAGGACCCTTGAGGCAAAAGGCTTCGGGTCAATGGTTACATGGGCTTCAAATGAAGCTCCGTACCATCGCAGCTTGGCTGTCAGCTTGAACATGAGTTGTAAAGCACAAATGAGTTTCTTGGTTGTCGAGTATTCTTACTAATGCTGTTCATTGTTCGGTATCAATCATTGGACCGAGGCGAAGTGCCGTCGCCCTTTGAGCCTTCACTCTTGGAAGATCCCAAATGGGTCAACAGCGACTTGGCGATGATCTCATGGGCACTGCCTGGCCTCAAAATCCCTTTTCTTTGGGCATGTCGGCTTGAGGCTTCGACAAGAAGAAGGCTGTGAAGCACGAGTCCTTTGAAGAGACTGGAGTTGAGGACACTTGATATTCATGAGCTTTGCTACCACATGTGAGCAGCTAGCCAAACATGTGCGTGTTTGAGCGTCTCTTGGGATTCCCGTTCAAGCTGGGCTTGTGAGAGTCATGGATGTGGTTTTTTTGGCCCCCTCTTTGCGCTTAACTCAAAGCAAAGCATCACAACAAGCATATCAGGTCCATCTCACCATCTAGCCCAAGATCCCTTTGTTCAGGCTCCATTTTAGGTTTCAGGTCGGTGAATTTGTGTAACCCCCCCCCCCCTGAAAAGTGGTTGGTGGACAGGGAAAAAAAAACACCCACATGATGTCCACCAGAGGGTCCCCAATTAAAGCGCATGCCCTTGTCTTGAACTCTAGCCCTTTTCTCCACTTTGCTCCTTGCCCCCAGAGACACCGCCAAGCCTCAGATGTCCTGCAATACTGAACCGCAACTGCTTCGGTCCTGAACCCCTCCCCCCCCTCCCGCCAAAAAAAATAACACGAAAAAGCAAACCAAGAAGCTGGTTGTTTTGCTTGTAGTGTCCCTGGTACCGCACTTTTCCCACGGAGCCCACAACTGGTCTGTCGAAAGAAAGCCGCTCATGAGAGGAGAGCATCTATGCGAATTGGATCAAGGGTGAGCTGGAGAAGGAGGCGGCCTGCCTCGAGCTGCCCTTCTCCGTGGTCTTCCTGGGGGTCTTCGCGCGGGGCCCAAGGCACGGCGGAGAATTCGAGGCGCGGGGCTCGCAAGGCGCGGCCCTCAACATCCCTGGCTCCTGTAAGAATGCGCGCCAACTTTGCTTGTTTGCGGCCCTGGCCAGGATTATTTGTTGGGAAGAAATTCCCAGGTGTTGGATGGTTGACAAGTCTAAAGATATCTAAAGATGCATTGGGTTGTTTGAGGAAAAGCCATCATTGTTCGGAACCCTGGAAGGCAACTTGAAATGGTTGGGGAGTTTTGCTGAACCCTCGCGACTTCCTAGAGGCTTGTTTTTTGGCTAAGAAGCTGGAGTTGAGTCAAATGTAACTTTGCACTCATTCAACTCGTTCACTTTAATTTGTGACTGCCGGTTGAACGCTGTTGAAACCAATGGAAACTCAAAAGTTGCTTGTTCCCCCCCCCTCCCCAATCTTGAATTGGCAATGCTTTTTGGGCAAGGGGAGGGTCGGAAATACTCTGGTGCTGTGAGCTTGCATGTGCTGGATGCCACGGGTTTCAACAGCCACTACGTTTCTTGTTCATGGGTTTTAACTAGAAGGCACAGAGACTGACCCTGAGATTATGTTGTGTTTTTGTGTGGTTGGAGAGCACCAAGCATTGCCAATCGCATGCCAGTTGGGTTTGTTTGACGTTTGAGTCCAAATCTGGCCCACTGCCCAGAGATGGACCGACAGCAGCCAGGCTGATTGAAGAACATGCCACGTTCAGTGGTCTTGATACTTCCCTTTTCGGCGGTTTGAATATCACAGTTTGGGCCACTTGTCGAAGAGGGCATATGGGAGTATCACCATTTGGGGCCAATATGACTATATATAATTATATATATGGGAGTTTCTCCAAATGGTTGACCTGCTTGTGGCTATTCAAAGGGAAACCAAAAGGCAGCGTTGCCATGTTGAGGACCCCTCAAAAACGACCTCCGGACCCGGGTCCGAGCCGAGGCAGTGTTTGCCCTGGGCTATTTGGCGCAGGACGTGGCGTGGGGCTCAAAGGGCCGGGTGGGAGGTCTGTTTCGCGCCCTGTCTGGGAAGGCAAGCAATCGGAAGCCAAAAATCGGAAGCCAAACTTGGAAGCCAAGTTTGGAGACCAAAGGGAAACCGAATGGGGAAACCGAATGTTGGAGGGCCCCCATTTCGGGACCCATTGTTTGTTTCGCGATGCTTTTGTGGCTAGGAGCAAGGGTTTGAGGCCGTTGCTATTTTTTGGACGTTGGCCCCCGGCGGATCTGGTTTCACAGTGGGTTTCGGGTGGGTGCCTGGTCCATTCGGGTGGGTTTAGGGTTGGTTTTATTTAGGATGGGATTTTTGGGGTCGTTTGGATTGGTTAAGGGGGGGCCAGGAGGTTTAGGGTGAGATTCAGATTGGTTTAGGTCTACGCCTGGCTTCAGAAGAGTTTCTGATTAGTTTGGGTCGGTTTAGGCAGGTTTTGATGGTGAGTTTGGATGGCTTCGTGGTCGATTTAGGTTGGGCTTAGGGAGGCTTGGTCGAAGGAGAGGCAGGGTTTAGGCCTGGCTTTGGTTTAGGTTTTGTTTGGCTGAATGCGGGTGGGTGCGCTACGTCGCTGTCAGAGGGAAGGTTCAGGCTAGGTTTGGGGTTGCTGGGCTGAAGGTGGGTTCAGGCTTGGCTAGGGTGGTTTTAGGGTAGGCTTAGGCTGGGTAGATCCTGCCTGCTTGCTTGCCTGGGTTGCTCGTTTTTGGAAAGCATACCTTTCTGGATTTAGCAGGGTAGGCGTCCTATCGAAGACTGTTCAATGGTGAGTCCCCTTCCTCGAGGAGCAGACTGGTGACTCGGTGTTTATCCTCTCAGTGTCTCAGAAATCACAGGGCAGGGTGGTCGAGGTGAATACACGTCCCCATGTAAATCTTCATCATGAACGAGTCCCGAATTTTATCATACCCAACAATTAGAGAATGGAGATGCTGGGGGTCACGTTGATGCTAGGGTTCTAGTGGCAAGTCATTTGCTTTTCACAGGTGATGAGTGTGGAAAATTCCATCGAGACCGACATCATCGAGAATGCCAATTTCGCCTTTGCGACTTGAGCGGCAGTTTGTGAATGTAGCCAGGCACTTCTGCAACCCCACGGTCAGTTTGCGCTGCCCCCAAGATCGGCCAAGATGCTTTCGTTACTCTTTTCCAGGGAGACTCAAATATGTAAATCCGCCGTCGCAAGCGGAGTTGCCGGCTTTTGGTCTCAGTTGGAGCACCCCATGCGCGCCGTGCGCGGCCGAGGAAGGCTACTTCGGCAACAAAAACATCAACGATGTAAACAGCTTCGCCGACTTTTGGTCCTGGGCGTGCCGGCCTCACGTCAGTTGCACAAGGTCATCGGGGCCCCGCGTTTTTGACGCGCGCCAGGAACGGGAGACCATGTGTTGAATCCATGTCCCTTTTTGGAACCTCCAAAAGTGGCAGTTTGAAGGGAATACACCAGGAAATTGCAGGCAGGCGGTCAAGGTCAGTTAGTTGAAAGTTTGGGTGATTTTTTTTATGCAAGGAAACACTTTTAAGTAAGGGATTTAAGCAGTTCAAGATGGGGTGTGGAAAGAAATTGCCGGTTTTCCCCCTAATACGGCTGGAATTGGGGATGGCAAGAAGAATCCCTTTTTTTTGATCCTGGTAACCAAAGCACGAAGATACAGTACCCTCAAAACAGCCGGAGAAAAAAAAAAACACACACGCACAATCAGCAGCCAGCCATCGCGCGAGCCCGAGGCGTTTAGGGCTGCTGCCCTTGCTCTATCCAGACCCGCCATATGCCTACTCCGAGGGCCTGGCAGATGCTTTGCAGGCGCGTGTTTGCTGCTTTGTTTTTGTGTTGTTTCTTCTTTTTTTTAGGTGTTTTTTTTTTCCGGGAGGGGAAGAATATGATCAGAGGACCAACAATTTGGTGGTTTGATTTGCTGCTTTGGTTTTCTTTTTCTCCTTTTTGTTTTTTGAGATTCAATGGGAAGGTATACCGCAGAGTACCGGTGTTCTTGGAGACTGTACCAACCCCAAAACCTCATGTACGACCCTTGCTTTTGCCAAGGTATTTTCCATGGTGCTCGTTTGCTCCAGACCTCCTTTTGGATGGCCCTGGCTTCCTCAGTTGCCATTGGCACTCTTTCGGGGTGGATCCATGGCTGTGTGCCATCTGTCCCAAAAGGATAAACACCTCCATTTGGCTGCAAGCCCCAAACTACTTTGCATTGAATATAGGCCAACGGACAAGAATTGATAGGTGACTGTTGTTAGGTCATGCGAGGATTCAGTGGCAGCTTGGATGGCTGGCTTTTGGCTTGCATGGGTTAACTGGCCAACTGCGGTTAGGGCGACATGCGAACTACTTTAGACAGATTGTCCGTTGCTTGTGCTGAATCTCATTCGACGCAAGATGTCACATTGTAAATTGTGTGATTCTGAGATGGTATTTTGTTTTGCCTGTCCACCCGAATGCAGACATGTTGCGTAGATGTTCAGTCACCAGAAAAAGGACTCTCAAGCAACTTAGAGTTCATGTTTGTGTTTGTTTGCGTGTGTGTGTGTGTGTGTGTGTGTGTGTGTGTGTGTGTGTGTGTGTGTGTGTGTGTGTGTGTGTGTGTGTGTGTGTGTGTGTGTGTGTGTGTGTGTGTGTGTGTGTGTGTGTGTGTGTGTGTGTGTGTGTGTGTGTGTGTGTGTGTGTGTGTGTGTGTGTGTGTGTGTGTGTGTGTGTGTGTGTGTGTGTGTGTGTGTGTGTGTGTGTGTGTGTGTGTGTGTGTGTGTGTGTGTGTGTGTGTGTGTGTGTGTGTGTGTGTGTGTGTGTGTGTGTGTGTGTGTGTGTGTGTGTGTGTGTGTGTGTGTGTGTGTGTGTGTGTGTGTGTGTGTGTGTGTGTGTGTGTGTGTGTGTGTGTGTGTGTGTGTGTGTGTGTGTGTGTGTGTGCTTGTATGCGTGCGATTTGCGTATGCGTATACTGTATATTAGCACTGGTGTGTATTGCATGCTCGTGTTGTGTATATTTATCGTTTTTTTGTGCTTTGTTGAGCTCGTGCTGCGTATTTTGCGTGTTTGTGTGCACATGTGGCCATGGGGCGTAACCTATGGCTCCTTTTTGGGGTGGATGAACATCCATTTGCCACCTATTTTGATGTTTTTGACCCACAGCCATGTGTTTGTGTGTGCTGGTTGTCGTGTGTCTATTTGTGTGCGCTTGCCTTGGTGATTTGCCGCTGCCCTGTGCCAGGGATACAACGTATCTGCCCTGCCCACGCAGTGGCAGTACCCGGGCTACGACAAGCCCGCGCCGGTGCAGAATGACTATTTGAGGCCGGAGCGCGGGAAATTCCTGCCAGAGTCTACTGCAGTTGGGTAGAAAGAAGACAAAAGGCGCCCCCCGCCCCCTGTTTTTTTCACAAGACCCAAGGAAAGGTCGTAAGAACCTTTCAGAAGGGGTTCTTTGTTGATCACCAGTTTGGGCCGGGGCCCTCATGTCTCAGTCTTCGGCCCAAATTGCTTTGGGCTGGGAGCCTGGCAGGCGGCAGATTTCGGATTCAAAGGCTCAGAAGAGGGCAACACTCTACAAGGACAACATGTCAACGTCTATATAAACGTTTGGAAGCCATCCGTGTCATGGAATGCCCTTATTCCACATAGGCAAACATGTAGTAATCCATGCATGTCCGCTTCGTTTCAACCAGCCGATTTCGAAATCTTGCGCAGTTTGATCAAATCCAAAAAGAAATAGGGCACCCAAGGGTTGTTTGTCATGATACTTTGTCACCAAACAACATACAAGCAAGCATCCTTCGAATGCGTTTGTCCATTTGCTTAAGGAAAAAATCACACGTTCCGCTGTGCCTATGGCCATGACCACTGGCTCAATATGTCGACTCGACTTGGTCGTTGGGCGTCCCCTCTACTTCTGCGGGCAGGATGCTTCTTGATCGTGGCATCATTCGAACCAACAAAAGAGTGGTTCTGCTATATATATGTATATATATATATATACATAGAGACTTTTATATCGTTTTCCTAACCGTTTCCTGTTTGCATGGCTTCGTTTTCCTGCTGCCCGCTCCACGCCGCGCGTGACCAGGTACAACCGAATCATCGGAGGACTGCGTTTTCGTCAGGAGGCGGGACAACTGACCATAAGTTTCCCAGCTTAAGGGAAAAATGCCAACTGACCCTAATTTTCCAGCTTCATTATTTAAAAATAAAAATAAAAATGCCAGTGCTACTGTCAAACGTTCGCCTTTGCCCCACCTTTCCCCACAGCTCCCGCTTTTCCACCCTGCAGGTCTCCGCCGACGACAAGGCCATTTGCACCTCCTTCGGGCAGGCCGACACCTTCAGGCCACCGCCTCGCAAGGTGAGTGGGGCGGTTTTAGGATCCCCCCGCCCAAAAAAAAATCACCAGAATGGTGGTTGTCCTTTGGTTTCCCTTCAAAACCACCCCCCCAAATGTTTAAATGGTGGTTTTTGCTGTTGGTTTCCCTTCTAAACCACCAAAAAAAAGGGGGTCCCCTAAAAGACACACCCATTTGTGTAGACCCCAGATCTTTGACTCACTTTGGACCACCCCAGGACATAAGTTGGAAAACCATTGATCTAAGGCAATGTTCACCTGTCACTTTTGTCAGGAGAGAATCAATCATCAGGGAAACCAATCAGCAGGGATACAGGGGGAACCAGGGATCCGGGAGAATTCCCCCTAAATGATTGCACCTTGACTAAGCTTATGGGAAATGGCGCCAGGGGAATCCCCCCATATCCATCAACCGCTCCCTCTGTATCCCCGCGGGTTCGTTCGTTTGTCCAGAATCAACTTGGACGACCATTGATCTAAGCGTCCATCGGGAAAAGGCAACGTCCACCTGTTACTTTTGTCAGGAGAGAGCCAATCAACTTGCGCCAACTGGCTCACGGTTGCAGGTCCTGGATAGGCAAACCCTGCACACACTTCTCCCAGTACGAGCTTCCGCCGGAGCCTTTGAGCAGTGCCATCGAGCATCAGTTCAGAATCTGACGGGGCCGGTCACGTCTCGAAAATGCGCGGCGATGATTGTCCATTAGAGGCTATTGTCCATATTTACTTGGAACACCCTGAAAAGTCCATCCCCATGACGTCCCAACAACGACAGCCTAGTGACAGTATTGAAAAAAAGAACAGGCATGGTACAATCTGCATGTTCGTGTTCAAGGGAAGCCATGAGTTGCATTACTTTCTGGCTTTGAAATGCGCCGTTTGAGGCCTGACCTTGTTGCTGCGGAGTCCTTCTCGCAAGCACCAGCCAGAATCGAATGGTTTTTGTCAGAGGCAGGATGCTAGCCATCGGACATGAGATGCAATCAGCAAAACTCTGATTGTTGTCACATCAAGAACAAGTGTCCATTTCCAAACACCAAAAACATGAAGTCGTAGCGAGGCCTTTGCATGCTGCGGGCTGTTTGTCATGTTGGTCGCATCATGTCGATTTGTTTTGAAAGAACTGACACCCTTTTGCCCAGGCTGAAGGCCAAGGCAGCCTGCTCCAGCATATCATTGACATGGAGGACTGAATGGACCATGGCATGCCAGTATCAACAAGCTCTCTGGAGAGGTAGGTCTCTCCTACGGTTCTCAGAGCTCATCTTGCAAACCTGCTCGTTGTCTGAGAGCATTTCCGTGGCCGTGGCCGGACGTGGCCGTGCAGGACGGCTGCTTCTCAGCCCAAGCGCAGAACAGGACCTGCCTGTGCAGGTGGTGCAACGGACAGGCCGGGCCTTTTTCAGCCGGGGTAGCGAAGCGGAGAAGCTTAAGACATGCCAAATGTCAGGGGCAAAATGATTCAAAACACCTAGGCCATTCTAGGCCTGGGGTGACTTCAGCCAAGCATGTAGGCTCCAGCTCAGACTAAACCCAGCGTAGGAGAGCTGGTTGACGGACGGCTTGCTTTGCTCAACCCGCATGTTGTGGGAGCAGGTACTTCATTTGGCCAAGTGCCTCCGCATGGACACATCAAGGGCCAAAGCAGCAGGCATCATGTTGCGGGTGCCTGCTTGGAGCGCCACTAAGACAAGAGGCTCATGGTATGCCGGTGAGTAGCACGCGTCTTGTTGCTGGGGGTGTCTCAATGTGAAGCTTCCAAAGTGGGTGGCTTAAAGACCAAAAAGGAACCACCAGCGCCATGGGTTTCATCGTGAGGCCGGGCCTCATCCGTGGCTGGATGAGCAAACACAGCGTGCCGCTGCCTCAATCGTGCCTCTTCCTTCGTGCTTGGGGGCTCCCAGGTTGTCGTTTATTCATGGATACCAACACCCCATTTGTTTGGTACTGGTGGCTGGAAAATGAATGAGAAAGAAGAGAGAGGCCGCGATGAGTCAAAGTCATGGTACCGTTCATCCATGTGTTTCTTCCATTGGTCATAGCATTCAACACCTTGGATGGATTCCCATGGGGATATGAACAGATGATATTGGGATGGAGAGTTCTACTAGAGATCAGACGGTTCCCGAGCAAACTGCAGCTCATGTTTTATCAGTTTGTCTTCGATGACTGCAATTCCCTATTATATGATTGCATAAACAACCTTCCGCAAGACACGGAGAAAGGGAGGCATTCGATCTACCAGGGCCATCTATTTTCCAACAAGGACACCTATGTGGAGATCCAGTAGCCATATTCGCCCTTTTCTTTGCAAAACGGAAACCTGCGGGAGTGCACTTTGTGATTTTGAGGATTGATGTCTTGGGCATGTTTTACGCTCGCTTTGCTGAAGAGCGGTCGCAATCGCAAGTCCTGAATCACTCCTTGGGGTCCTCTACATGGATTGTTGTAACATGCTGCTAATTGTTGCCACTCATTCAAGCCAGAGTAGCTGCATCTCTAGCATCTTTCTGTTCATTCCTGTTTGGCATTGGAATTGAAGTAGAATTCACATCGAATCATTGTTCTTCTTCTTTGACTGCTCCTGAAAAGGAGTGAACACCCAGACGCTCAAACAAAGTGCCATGCCAGTTCTATGAGTTTACAGGTTTCAAGTTGCAAGGCTTTTGGTTTAAGTCAAAGTTTGATTATAAATCAACCAAGAATACCATTTCGATTTAAAATTAAATATTGATATATTGCTTCCCACGTAAAATTTTGATTAGGGGTTGAACAGAATCTAATAAGGCAAGACAAGCTTGTTGTTTCTTGTAATTTGGAAACAGGGATTCCTTTCAATCATAAATAGTAATTCCTTTCCAAGTAGGACTTTAATCGGGATTTAGATAGAGCTTAATTGGACTTTTTCTGTAATTTGACTAGAAAGACTAGAAAGAAGCTAGTAAGTGACAGAGAAGCTGGCTGTTTCTTCGAAGTAATTCAATGATCATTGTCATGTTGAATCTGATGCTAAATACGAAATCCTTTCCAAGTATCTAGTATGTTGTTTAGATGCCAACTATAAGTTTAATAGAATATGGCAAGGAAAGACAAGCTGGAATTATTCTAGGTGAGTTAAATAGAGTTATTAAAATGAGTTAGATGTTTACTTTGATTTACTTAGACATCTGGTTTTTAAATTGATAGTAAATTAAGATTAATTTCCAAGTAGGACTTTAAGTAGAATTGAACTAGAGTTTAAATATAATCAAATAAGGAATAAGGAAAGACAAGCTAGTTGTTTCTTCCAATTTTCCTGCCCCTTGAAAGCAGAAAACCTAGATGACCAAACACAATTCAAGAGACCTCCCCCCCAAAAAAAACACAACCATCAAGAAGCCGAAAACCAGAAACAGCTCGAGAGAACCCACAAAAGTAAAAACAGCTTGAGAACTCCAACAAAACAACTCGAGAAAACCCAACCTGAAACAACTCGAGAAAAAGGGAAAAAAGAAAAAAACAACGAGAACACCACAACAAAGTAAGCACAAACTCGAGAATCCAAACAAAGAAAATGACAAATTGCAGAACTCTTTCAATGTAAGCTGTTTTCCGAAGAATTGTTAATACATGATTGTTGGTGTATTGACTTGTTTTTGTTCAGTTTGTTTCTCGTTTGTTTTTTAGTTTCTTCAATCTGTTTTGGTTTTGCTTGGGATTGTCAAGATGTCTCCCCTTGGTTGGAGTCCTGATGGGAAGACTGCAAGCCTCAAAATGCACAAAAAGCGAAGTATCAGTGAAACCTGCTGCAAACCGGCGTTCAAAGTTTCCGCATGATCTACCTTTTCCAGTGGTCTACGGCCTGATTAAATCAGGGTCCCCTGTTCTTTTCTTTGTGACTCCTCGACTTGTCAGCGCTCGGTGTCCTTTTTGGTTTGCTCGAAAAATCGATGGGCTTCGATTCCTGGTTTACCCGGTGGTTTGATCATCTACCAGGGAAACCCATCTATTTCCCTTAGGACACCTATGCCGGTCAGTTCGTTTTGCGAGCGGAGGAAAGTCGGAAAATCTCTCCACTCAGTCCCTGAGGTGGAGATTGCCTTCGTGACGTACAATGCTCATTATGGCTTCTTGGCAGGCAGCCGGTGGAGTTTTTTTTTAGGTTAGCTTGAGGAAGAAAATAGAAGGGTCCCACTGGTTTAGGGTTTTGTTTGATTTACCAGGGCCATCTATTTTTCCAAAAGGCCACCTATGCTTGGCTGCCCATATGGTTGCTATCAACTGAAAGGAAACTCACCAAGTTGCAGGTACCCTAATTTTCAGACAAAGCCGCATCTCCTGAGAACAAATTAAGCTGTTTGACTTCGCTTCTTTCCCTCACGCCTTCAGCAGGCAGCTCTTTGTAGCTGAAGTGGTGCAGCCAGCAGTGCGTCCATGTGGCTGTGGACACATGCGAGCACGTGGCAAGTGTCTGCCTTTGGCAGTCTCATTACTCATTTCCTCGTCAGCGAACCCAGCAAACCAGAATGGCGTTTGAGTCACAAGCTCATTTGGCTCGAGCCGGCAAAGAGGACATTTGAGTTTCCTACAAAGGATGCTGCGACTTGGCTCCAAGCTGGGCTGAAGTTGAAGGTATACAGTCAGCTGTGGCAAGCTGCATGACTCATGACAGGTTGCACTGGTGCTGAGAAGCGAACTCATGAACATGTTACTTGTATCACGATGCAACATTACCACCAAAGATGGACTTCTCGGACAAGAGGACATTTACCGAGCGCAGTTTGGTCGGACAGAATATGTTGCTACAGCAAGAGGCAGTGTCATACAATTTGTACAGACATTGTGTTGAAGAAAGTGGCCCTGTCAAGATATTTGAGTTGTTGAGCTTCTCGAGCGATTTCTGGTTTGGCAGTGGCAATGCGGCTCACTGTAGTAATTATGCAGCCGTTTGTCAACATGCTTCGTTTTTCGCCATGCAGAGGGCGATCAGCGACCATGGGTGGGTCGTAAAATAGAGGATATCTCAAGCTAGTTGGTTTCCTTTTACTTTCCCTTCAAAGAAAACCGACAAAAAAGCTCGGTTGAAGCACACCCACTTAGAGGATCCTCCATCCGTGTTGCATAAGGTTTGCCAATGGCCCCACGCCGAGGCTTTTAAAAACATACCACCTGAGCTGTGTCGCCTTCTTGGCTCATTGGTGACCCTCACATTGCAATGCCAGGCCGCTTTTTGTTCTTTGTACGCAGGAGGCTGGCAACTTGGGTAGCTTGTGGCAATTGGGGGATGTTCCAATTGCCCAGCATGTTATTTCAATCAGCAAACGGAATAACCTCACGTTTTCCACCACTCCAACGGCATTGTGCCCCTGGACACTTTAACAACTATCTTTGTTTGCCCCGCCTTCCTTTGAAGTACTGGCTTTTAAGTTCTTTCTTGCGTTCTACTCTACTCACTCCCTGTGTTCATGGACTTTGTACTTTTTGCCAAGACCATCTTGTTGGTAAGCCAACCGTGTGCATGTGTTTGACGAATCAACCCAGGTGTTCATCCTTCGCCCCACTTTCAGGCGGCTTCTCGTGCTCCTGGCACCCGCATGGGCCCAGATCACGGCCCCATCCTCGTGTTCCATCACTCAGCCGGGGGACCAACAAGGCAAAGGCGAAGGGAAGCCGATGCCATGAACCCACGTCGTGGGTATGGGGCAAAAATAACCCACCAGACCGCAGGCTTTAGTCCGTGTTTCCATTTGGGGTACCTGTGTGAAAAGTGGAAACCCCCTTTTAGCCGACCTTAGCCCCTATTGACTCCTACATACTAGAAATCAAAATCAAGGTCAGACCCAGTGATTGATCATTCTGACAGATTGAGGCCAAGAGAGTGTAGAAAGAGCATGCCCTGGATGAAGGCCACTAGGGTGGATCAATGCACTAGCAGTGAAGCATTGATATGCGCAATGACTATCGAGCCATGGAGAGGTTTTGTCATTCACAAGTGGGAGCAGAGTACAAAGTCGAGCCACTTGTTTTGACCGACCTGCACAGAAAAAGCGGAGCATATGCAGCACGAAAAACTGAGAAGTGTCAATCGTCTTGTAGAGACTGTAGGTTTGCACGTATGCTGCGGATACGTGCGGGCCATGAGTCAACAAATGGACAATCAACCAAAACAAAAAAGCAAAACTGGGGCCATTGTTGTGCAGTGGTCCGTTCTTCGGAATTCACAGTCTGTTTTGTTTTGCAAATCAAGCAAAATAACAAAAGTGAATGCCAAAGATGCAGCCAAAGCAAGCAACTGCCGAATGCATGGCGCACCCAACTGCTTTTTATGCCGTTGCTTCCATCGTCTCCGATTGAGGTGAGTAGAGTTTGGTCAAGGAGTGTCGGAGAGTGCTAAAATTGGGAAAGCCCTCGTACCTATTTTTTTTGTTGGGGGGGGGAATTCACAGGAAGCCCAGCATTTAAAGGGGGGCTCAAGGCACGGGACATCTGCTTCTCGATCCCAACCATTCCCAGCGACGGCTGATCCTTCACTTCCCTCGGAGAGGAGTCTTTGAAGTTGGGAAAGTGATGCTCTTCCTTTGGTTTGCCTGGATTTTTTCTTTGTACCATAGTTTTGCCTCGGGCAATGTCCTTTTGCCCTAGTTAGGGATGGCTGTGCCCGGGTTGCCTTTTTTCATACGGTCGGCCCAAAACGGGCCGATACCGTGTTTGCACTTAGGTCAACGGGTGACACTCATAGATCCCTTGTTGAATAGCTTGGACAAGGACCTGAAATCGAAATAGATTTATTTCTATTCAAAGCACCAGCCTACAACACTGAAGGCTTGAGAACGGAATGTATAAACAAGAATTTGGCCCATCCCCACCCTTCCCCAGCACACACTTCTTTGTTATCCAAACATGAACAGAATACGAAATTGAACCTAGTGCCGTGCGGCCTAGGAGCAGTTTCAGTGTCTCCTCGCCGGAGCTGGAGTCAGTGTCCGCCAAAATCTCAGAGCAAACTAGCTGCGACTGCAGATAAAAAAAAGATTGGCCCACAAAGCCCGCACAGCTGAAGCCCATGGTGATCCCGAATTTGACGCCAAACGGGGCTGCAATGGAACAACGCTACCACACTGGCAGATCAGGCTACCCGTTTGGGACGTGCTTTTTGCTCTCCCACGAAGTCTCTGTGAGTCCCTCTGACTTGGTTCTTCTGTGGTGAAAGGAGACTGATGGTTAAACTGTGGTCAACACGATTTTACAGGAGGCTATTGCCTTTCTGGAAACGAGTTGCTTCAATGTTTTCCTCAAAATATGTCTGACTGAAGTCAACTTCTACGCTCAGTGAACAAGTTGAAAAGAGCCGCATGCCTGCATCAGATCCGCGGGAATGGGAGGCAAATCACTGCTGGAAGTCAATTGAGAATCAAGCTGCATATGCCTGACATATGGTAAGCATGTGAGAAGCACGATGCGATTTGCCTTTTCGCTTCTACCAACTTATTGTTTGCCGACTGGATTCGGATTGTTTGCGAGGAGCCGAAGGCTTAGCTGTTTAGAGGCTGGCGGAACATCTGAACATCTCGGACACGTGAATCCACGACACACGCCGAGGTCACCAGCAATGAAAAGCGGGTGAACTTCCAGCTTCAGGCTGAGGGCGAGTTTTGCTATGTCTAGCACAGGTCCAAGTCAAAAGTATTAGACTGGTCGAATATTCGAGGCAGCCAGGTTGCCTAGCAACGGCTGCTTTTTGGCGTTGAGGCCCCTAGCATCACGAATTGAACGCTTCCATTTTGAGCTGGATCTTTGCGAATGTCCCCCTTCTGAAGTCACCCAGAAGCGATGGGGGAGTCCCAGAAGCGATGCCCTGATCTTGTGTCTATCAACAACCACAGAGCGAATATTGCTTTCGCTACTTGATCGCGGAGGCTCAGAGGAAAACCAAGCAGAAAACCATCCATGCTCGCAAGTCCCTCACGAAACAAGAAATCCATATCAACACTTGACAGCTGTTGGTTTGCTAGATGTGCCAGGTGGCGTTGGCTGTGCTTGAAGCTAGACCACCATCATAACATGCAACAAGAAGATGCGCCGAAGCGATGCCCAAAGCGATGCCCAAATGATGCCCAAACGATGCCCGAAGCGATGCCTAAAGGTCTTCAAGTTGCCCAGCTGCGCATTCGGGTCCTGAACAACACTTGCCTTTGTTAGCAAGCCCTTCGCTTTGGTTGACGATCCTGCAGCAGAACCATGCAGCAGCGCCTTGCAACAGCACCCCTGCACAATTCTGAGTCTCGGCCTGCAGCAGCACCGTGCAACAACACCTTGCAGCAGCATACTCAACAACACCCTGCAGCAGCACCATGCAACAGCATTGCAACAGCACCTCAGTCTCGGCCTGCGGCAGAACACGCAGAACACCGAAACAGCACATTGAAGCAGCGCCCTGCAGCAGCAATGCGCAAGCTGATCGCATACGTGGAACAACCCCAACAGGAAACAATTGAGTTTAAATAGAGCAGCTTGCCTTGGAATTCACGAAAAAAACACAAACACTATTCTGTTTGGAAGCCTTGGGTTTGGATATCTGGAACAATTATTCAATTGCAACAATATGTAAGAGCGATGCCCTGAAAAACCACAACGCAAAAACATGCGGGAAGCGATGGGGGTGTCCCAAATTGGCGGTGTCACTGCGGGATACAAGGAGTTTAAAGGAGCTTAGACATGGGGGCTGATCAATATTCCCTTAAAGGCCTCCACATGCCCATGGGTAGTTTTTCCCGCGTGGGAAGCATCGTCTTTTTAGTTGTTTTTTCGACCAATGGTCATACCATGTAAAGGACCTTTTGGGCGAATCCAGGCCACAAGAGGTTGAGCCCCGGTTTACAATATATGCTATTTGGGAAACAGAGGCCAAGCAACCCATGTTTGAGTTCCAATTGGAGCCGGAATTGCGCAACGGTGACGCTTGCCGTCGGCAGCCTGCAAGATGTGAGCGCAGGGGTTGCTGCTCCCCAAAAACATTGCAACAGACGCTTTTCAAACAAGTTTGTGGTGGCCTTTTTGGGGTTCTAAACAGGCATCTCAACCATTTTGGGCACAAAGCACATGGTTCTGTGCTGATGGGATGTTCGC